AATTTTGATGTGCAACTCTGCCCACCGAGAGAGAGAGAGAGAGAGAGAGAGAGAGAGAGAGAGAGAGAGAGAGAGAGAGGGATCACTGTGCATAGTGGCCTCTCTGAAAGGGAGCGGTTGAGCAGTGAGGCACGTAATTGTCTCAAGTTCTCTCTAAACTTGGTTGAGTGGTTGAGTTGACTTGAAGTTTTTGGTTTTATTGGACTTGCGAGCACTGTGGCATCTCCGAGAAACGGATGGCTATAATTTAAGAATACTGAAACGTTGGAATAATGTCGAATAATTATGTCATGTCGATGTCAGTGACTGGGTCATCCTGACAGGATGGATGAAACTCGGTGAGCGTGAGCTTTTCAATCTGTTTTCTTTTTTTGTTTTTGTTTATAATGTTTGTCATTTGTTCTGTCCTTTGCCAGTTGGGTGGTTGGAGGAAATGACTGTAGGTCCTTCACACTTACCGTTTTTTTGAAAAAAAAAAAATTGTGTGTGTGTGTGTGTGTGTGTGTGTGTGTTTCTGTCGTAAAACTAAGCTATATTCTTCACTCATCCTCACTCAATACCTCCCACTACCTACCATCCTAAACAAGGAACAGCCTGGGCCTAGTGGCGGTAGCCTAAGCTTAAAATCTATCTACCCACGTATCTGAGACACGAAATCCATGTCTAAGCACCGAAGGAAGGCAGGCTATGTCTACCTACTCTTTTGAGTCTACTCTATCCAGGGAGTAGTACCTACCGTCTTCACCCGAGTAGAACGCCCGGTCATTATCACTGCATCTGGACTGAAAGTTGGGCCAAATGCACCTATAATGACTGGGCGTTCTATTAGGTTGAAGACGGTAGGAACCTAACCCCCCAGCCAGGGATGGCAGGAGCAAGGGTGAAGGAAACCCAGGCTCCTGCCAAGCCGCCGGTGGGGGCTAGCCAACCATCTCAGCTGGTAGTAGACACCAAGCCCGCTGCAGGTGGCCGTTGGGTTATTCAACCCACGGCCTCGTGAACACGCACTTACAAGCTCAACCAACCGAGCTCGGACGCTGGCCCGGTGTTAACACTTATCTGTTTATAATACTTTATACATGTTTGCTTCTTTGTGTTATGTCCACAGCTTGTCAGATGATGCTCCTTTTTTTTTTTTTTTTTTTTTTTTTTTCCAGATGATCCTTGACTCTTCCTTCACCTTGTTTCATACTTGTTGGTGAGCAGTGTAACTCACTTTCCAGTAAGGCGCGGTGTGGCGATTGGATTGTCGAAGTGTATACTGGGCTTGTCTGCCGCCATGGTCACTCAGGTCAGACAGCGCTTGGGAATCTGGAACTCTGTCTTTGCCTTGTTTCGCACTTCAAGTTGTTGGCGAGTGTTCTTTTAAATCTTTTGATTCTTTTCTCCTTTTTTTTTGTCTCTGTGTGAGTCTTGTTGATCCCGTATAACACCGTGTATCTACAGCAAGCTTCGACTCAGTCAGATAAAGCAGCTGCAAGACATGTGTTTAATGAGCCACTTAGTACATACCTTTGTTATGTGTGTGCTCGATTGATTTCTCATCCAGCGCTGCATCCAAACGCTCCCGTACAGATCTGCAATCACAGGAACTTCAAGACTGGAGAGAGCAGATTCACACCAGACCAGGGAGAGAGAGAGAGAGAGAGAGTGCACAGAGGAAAGAGGAAGCCTTAGGGCCAGATCCCACTGGCAAAGAGGATTGGAAGAAGTGTCTGAATCTGGACGTGTTCCACGCAGAGGTGCAGAAAAGTAGATCAATCACAAATTTTTGCACCGGTCCACAAACACGTCCACATTCAGACACTTACTACAATCCTCTTTGCCAGTGGGATCTTGCCCAACGCCAAAACCAAAACTTGAATTGATAGTAAATCGTTTTTCAATCAATTAATTAATTTATTATTGAATTTCCCCCTGCTCTCGCCACCTCAATAGAACATCCCTCCACGCATCTCGACCACAAATTTAATGGTCCACCCCCGATCAACCCCCCCCAACAAGTCTTCAACAAATATTTCGCAGAGACTTCCTCTCCCTCCTTCGAACTCTCAACACCCCGGTACGGCTCACAACTAAGCGCCCAGTTCCCTTGTGTCTGCAAGTGGCAGGCGTTGCGTTGGTTTGCAGGCGTCGGTCTGACAGGACTAGGTCCATCCCAATGCCAGTCAACAGGACTCGAGAGCGCCCGAAATTCACTGTGAAGAAGAAGACACGAAATTCGATGAAGAAGAAAATGGCTGCCTTAGTTTCCGGATATGGCAGCGACCGACCAGAAGCCGCTTGATGAAGCAGTGGCCATGTTCGAACGCCCACAAACAGCAGCGGCAGTGATGGCATGCAGCACCGGGCAAGACTCAGCCTGCGCTGTCTTCCAGGAGCCCTGCAACTCCAGCTATGGCCACCAGGGCCCGTCAAAGGGGGTGAAGCGCAGCTTCATTGTCCAAGACTGCTCGCCCCCAAGCCCGAAAAGAACTCACGTCCCACGGGGGCGACTTTTCGTAGACTTCCTAATAACGAACTACCCGACCGCTAGGACCTACGTCGGACCGAGAAGCAACCAACCTAGTACGGCCTATCTGCACCTAGACAGAAAAGAGCCCCAAAGGGAACTCTAGAGCTACCTACATCTCGGAGGCAGTAGGACCGAAGAAGACAAAATCAACCGGTCCACCAATCAGTCTAGATTCAGTCAAAAATAAAACAAACAAAAGGCACCTCACGTTTCCCCTTTTTGTTTTACAATTAATATTTATTATTTAATACAAGTGGACCTGCGGCAGCCACGCTGCGGCGAAGGACGATGACAAAAACATTTCACGAAACACCCCAGCCATCAATTGGACCCGATCTTTGCAATGTACCCCTACTGAACACTGCCCAACTTTGCAAAATGGCCCGGCAGTTGCCAAGTTTTTGCAGGTGCAATTACAAAAGGCCAAGCGGATTTGCACACCCACCTGACAGGGGCATAACACAAACATGTCAGCCCAAAAGGCCATTCCACTGTGCCCATATCTTTTAGGGTCATTCTGTACTCAATTTTTTTTTTTTAATCAGAAAATTCCGAAAAAAAAAGAAGAAAGCTGTACAACATTGCAATACAAACAACTTTTGCCGGAGGGTCATGTCGAAATTCACAACCGAATCCGGAAAAAAAAAAAAAAAAAAAAAAAGAATAAAAATTAAAAGTATCTTTTGATTGAGGGCATTGCGCAGTATTTTCTATTTTCGTTTTTAAAACTTAATCTAAAAAAAAAAAAAAAAGAACAAAAACTATGTTGTACGAAATTGCAATACAGACCACTTTTGCCTGAGGCCCTGAGGGTCTTGGAGAAATTCACAACCAAAATACCCAAAAAAAAAAAAAAAAAAAAAAAAAAAAAAAAAAAAATAAAAGTATATTACATTCTTTTTTTTTATTTTTTTTTTTATTATGGTTTTCCCTTTTAGTTTTTTTTTTTTTTTTTTTTTTTTTTTTTTTTTTCCCCCAAACCTCCCCTTTAGTTTGAATTGCATGCTAGAGATGGAATGAAAGTCTAGACGAGTTTATGAAATATTTTAATTGCACTATTATCATTCTAGCATGATTCTACTCTAGTATAAGGGTTTTTTGTCAAAAATAGGTTAATCTAATCTAAATTAAGATTTTTCATAAACTCGTCCAGACTTCCATTCGAACTTTGACAAATAAATGTAGTTGGACGGGAAAACCCATTTCTAGATGGAAACTCGTCAAATGAAACTGAAAAAACTTAGAATTGGAGGAGAATTTTCTACTTTTCTACTTTTGAGTCGTTTGGAGTGATAATTTTTAAATATGAAGGATTTTTTTTTAACAGAATATTTTGTCATCTTTCATTTCTTGTGAGAACGATCACCCACCTATACGAGTCAAAAGACTCTCCAGAGTCCATACCTTTTCTTTTTTTTTCCCTCTTCTTTTCCTTAAACAGCCCAAGTGGATGCTATGGACGTTGATAAGAGCAGGCACCACTAAGACTCTCCAGATCTTTGATTAACACCTAATGAAAAGCCAGTAAAGGCCCCCACGAAACAAATAAAGGTGTGCCTCGAATCACGGCGAGGAATCGCGCTCTAGACACCGCTGGCACTAGAGGTATGGCATAACTGCCTAGCGATACCCCCCGACCACTGCTGCTTAGAACTTGACTAGTAAAACCACCAGTACCTCGCCCAACCAAAAAATCCCGATGTGGCCGGCCGTTAACTCGCCGCTTGTGTCAGGGGTCGGGGAATTGAACGCCTGGTCGCTGTTAAAAGACTGGGCAAAATATAGGAAACGGGGAGGGAAAAAAGAAAGCACTTATTTATACTAAAACAAGAAATAAAAGAAAAGAAAAAAAGCGGGAAGATTCTAACAGACACACACACACACACACACACACACACACACACACACACACACACACACACACACAGAGAATGAATTTTCCCCTGTTCACGAGGTCAATTCATTCTCATTTCAGGACTTATGAACGGCGCACGGATGGGAGAGAGAGAGAGAGAGAGAGAGAGAGAGAGAGAGAGAGAGAGAGAGAGAGAGAGAGAGAGAGAGAGAG